GGTTACCCATATGCTATCATTGGGACCCCCGGGTAAGGTTTGGCTTTTTCTGTGGGAAAGCGAAATCATACATCCAAACCCCGCCCCACCCTGGCGCAGCACTAGCCGATGTAAAACAGATAGCAGTTGACATTATTTTAGCTACTGTGGTGGTGGTGGTGGTTCGTCAGTTGTACTGGTACTTGAAGGATGATTGCCGTAAATATTAACATTAGCCCCATTCTCACTACTATTACATTCCTGCTCCCAATTTAGTCCAGATGGACAGGGATGTCAGTGTCAGTTACAACAAAAGAGATATCGCCAGGTGATGATTTTTTATAATCCTTCGAAAAGGGAGAGAGCAGTAGTCGGTGGAAGAGGGAAGGGGAGAGGGTAATGACTGAAATTTAAGAGAACTTGAAGAGCTTTACACATGATTTTTAAGTTCTCATTACTTACTTAAATTGTTTATATTTTACTAAAGCTACCTTCACTATTCTAATTTTTGTACGACTTACTTTGTTATTTACAAGTACAGTAGTAGCTTTACTTACGTCTCCTATAAAAATACAAACAGCTTTAGCATGTGATAACCAAATAACCACTTTTGTTACTGTGCTAATAGCACCATTTAAACGACCACTAACATAAGACACAATTATATGGTGCGTGTTCTAAAGTTGGAAAACCAGACTATCTCTATATAAATGTGCAGAGAATGATTGCGACATTAACTATATTAGACAGGTGCGATTTCCATTGTCTTTCTTTTCCGAAAACCTTTGATGAGGGAGAGGGTAGTAGGTGGATTTAGTTGTGGGGGGGGGGGGGGGGATCAAAGACTATCTCTATATCTGAGCAGACAATCACTGTATTAGACACGTGCGATTTCTATTTTCTTTCATTTCCATTTAGCCAAACTATGCCACAGCAACGCGTGGCCGGGTACAGATAGTTACTAATAAATTATAGACATTCAATAACTGGTGCCTGCGCAGAATAGAGGGAATTAATTGGTATGATAGAATAACTAATATAGAGCTTTGGGAGAGAACTAAACAGGCTCCAGTGGACCAAGAGGTGAGAAAAAGACGCTGGCGTGGGATAGGACACACACTGAGAAAACAGGTGAACAGCATAACTAGAATGTCATTGCATTGGAACCCACAGGGGCAAAGGAATAAAGTAAGGCCAAAAAACACACGGAGAAGAGAGCTGGAGAATGAAGTTAGAAAGATGGGGAGGACATGGGGAGATCAGTGGGAGAGCTTCATGTAATGGCGAAGTATAGAACGACTTTGCGTGAGTTGGTTATTTGATACTCAGCACACATCACCGGTTTTGCAACTTTCCTTGTTCAGTTTAGCTGTTTCACTGGTCCACTCTGCCTGAAAGATTACTCCTTCTGTGTTTTAAAGTTATAGCTATCACTACTTGAAACTCGAAAGTTTATCGAAGTTGAAATACAATAGGAAAGAAAAGGCTCTATAGCAGCAGTATGTTAGAGCAAGACAAAGTAAAGGACCCGTTTTTAGATCAATGATGCATTTGTCACACGAAGCCAAACTTGTGTTTTATTTTTATAAACCAATAAAGCAAGATAATGTCGGGAGATGTGAACCAGCGTCATTGCACACGGTTATAAACCATAAGTGCTCTGCCACCAAGTACGAACAGCTAATAAGAAACTGCTAGCCTATGTCGCCGTCCGCACGTAACTCTGTAGCTACAGCGACGTTCCTCCATTTACCGCAGAGTGTTAACTCTGGAATCCATTACCTAGAGGCTGGGTGAACCCCGGGAACCGCCCGGTTTCGAACACCGGCAGTGGGTTGCAGCGAGTCGCAGCTGGATTTGAAAGCGAGTCTCCTATCGACTGGGCTAACGCGGGTTCCTTTATTATAGACCAGTAAGGAGAGTAATAATAATCATCAACAAATACCTTTCTGACAGGTGTGGGCGATCATGCCTCTTTACAACCTACGATCTTCAACAGCATTTCTAGTTCATGCGCTAGTTCTCTCCCTGACATGACAAAAAGCTGTCAAAAATCTGCTCGCGCTGCTTTCTTCTGTCTCTCCTCCCACCAATCTTTTCAGTGGTAGCGGCATGTTCCAATTTCTGTCTTCTCACAACATGACTGACTAAGTGACTAACTGACTGACTAATTGACTAACTGACCTACTGCCTAACTGACTGGCTGGCATGACTAATATTTTCTCATAACATGACTCAAATAAAATAATAATAATTTAAAAAAAAAAATGATGACTCTCTTTCTAATGTCCATCACATTTATCTTCAGGCCTCCGCCTCTTTCAAAACATCAGCTTTGCTCTGTTTAGTTGTCAACTTATTCTTCTGTAAAACCACATCTCCGAGGCCTCACCAAATTATTTGACTTCTTCATTAACCACGTGAACACGTAAATTTTTTTTTTTGAAAGAGCCTTCAAGATGAAAGCACCCTTGTAATTCTCAAAAACTCTACCGCAAGAAACCAGGGAAGGAGAAAAAGAAAGAGGCCAAATCTGGACACATAATCAGTTATTTAAACAAAAAGAAAAAACCCATGGGGTTTAAACCTGTGACAACCAAGCAGAAAGGCTAGCCTGCTGGCAGCTGCATCATCATGGAACCCAAGTCACTCACACACACATCACTTTGTTTGAATTAAAAATTATTTGTAACATTTAACACAGCTCCCCCCCCCCCCCCCCCAATTTTACACGCACGCACGCACGCACACCACACACGCACGCACGCACACACACACAAGAGAAATTTCGCTTTGTAGTAAAGGATATAATAACTACAAAGGTAGTCAAATAGCAAATACTGTCTTTATGGTATTAAGTGTTAAGTATTTACGTATTCTGAGATCCACCGTTATGTAGCGGCAAGTCACTCACCAGCGAATCGGAAAGTCGTGGGTTAAAATGCGTACGGTGCTAGTCTTTTTTTTTCCTCCAAAAATTATATGGCTACCAGGTCGACCCAGCCTAATGGATACCAAGTAAAAGTCATGGGATGTAAAGGCAGCTGGTGTGATGGTGATCACATCTCTCACCAACGTGCAGACCTATATGCCCAATATGCCTAAAGGTGTTAAAAGGGGTCTTTTACTTTACTTATTTACATATTCCAGACCTTGACACAATGAGATTGTGTGTCCAGTGCCATTCTTCATTATTGGTCCTTCTCTAACAATTTTCAAAAAATTATCTGCAACTTATGTTTATTAAGCCAGGGTATCTGTGGGGTTATACTGGTCATAAAATATCGTTCTGCCTCTTATGAAGATTGAACCCAAACCACTATCTTGGAAGGCAAGGGCACTACTAATGTACGACCATGGATTCTGTGTAACATAAGGCTATGTATTCTTAATAAATATGTACTGATTTGGTAGTCAACATTAGTTTATTAACATAATTAATCATCACCTGAATACACTGTTTTCATGTAAACATATCTTTATTTGTTCATAATCTCTTCAACTGATCATCTTTGTACTAAAAATTTAACTTATCACCTTTGTACCACATCTTCAACTCATCACCTTTTTACTACATCTTAGACTCATAATCTTTGTACCATAACTTAGATTTATCATCAATGTGCCCCACTTTAACTGAAAATCTTTATACATCTGTGACTGATCATCACTGTACCGTGTCCTAGACTGACTTTGTACCACATACTCAACATATCATTTTCGTACCACATCTTTGACCGATTATGTTTATACTAAATCTCTGACTGAACATCTTTGTACTATGTCCTCGACTTACAATCTCTGTACCACATATTCAGCTGTTCATTTTCGTACCATAACTATGAGTGCAAAGAGACAGATTATTAATAGCATATTTATTCCAACATTTAGCTACCAGTGCCAAACATGGACACTATCTAAAGCCCATATACGCAAAATCACCACCTGCGAGATGAGGTGCCTGAGAAAAGCAGCCAACCTAACCATACGAGATCGAGTGAATAATGAAACTATCAGGCAAATCGTGGGAACAACACCTTGTACTATATTCATCGAGAAACAGCAGATCAAGTGGTTCGGCCATCTCGTTATAATGCAGCAAGATCAAATACCATCACAAGCACTACATCTCAGAAGATCAACTACAAGAGCAAGAGGACGGCCGCAGAAAATATGGATCAACAACATTAAAGACACTCTACGCCTTCACAGCATGACAATAGCCAGTGGCAGCCAACGTGCACTGGATCGCAAATTATTCCTCCCCACGACGCTTAATGGCAGAAGTGGTTCATGATGATGAAAATGATCTATGATTGATCATGTTTATACTAAATCTTTGACTGATCGTCTTTAAAAACATCTAAGCCTTTGAGAACCTGCTTCAGCTCACTAGAGCTGTGCAACAGGCTGATTTCCTGTTCACTTCCAATGTAGCGACCTTCAACAAACAAAAGTGGAACCTGAAATGAAACATGAAACAATTACTAAATAATGTTACTAAGAATTACATAACAATATGAGCAATCATGAATGACTCTTAAAGAAGTACTACAGGCAGAAGAATCACAAAAAAATTAGGAATAAGAAACAAATGTGCTCAGGTGGGTGTATAGATGATAATAATGATGCTGGTGATAATGATGATAGTGATGATGATGATGGTGATAATGATGACGATGATGATAATGATGGTGGTGGTGGTGATGATGGTGGTTTTGGTTATGATGATGATGGTGGTGGTTGGATGATTATGATTATAACGATGATAATGAGGATGATGATTACAGTCATTAAGATGACGACATACTCTTGTGTGAAATAAGTCAAGCACTGGATAACGTTTACATACTGTTGTGTTAAATCATGTTTTAACTGTGTGTATTGTTTTACTGATGTGATTAAAGTTAGCAAAAATTTGTCACTGTTTACACTTTATTTGTTCTGTAATTGCCATTTCTATAAGCATACCATGCATTCTATTGAAGGCTATTAAGTAGGGTTGGCATGGAACTGGCTTCCTCATCCTATAGGGAACCTTAGCCGCACAACCCAACTATTGATAAATATGTTTATAGAGAGCTTGTTTGAGAGATGATTGGGGGATTATTCTTTAATGGGAGATGAGAGGCAAAAGACAAAGAAGAACACTAATGGCTACTTATGTTGGTGATTAGCAAAATTTAAATTAGAAAACTGATCAAGTGTGTTCATACAACAAATAATCTCCTGTACATGAATGAACAATGAGATTTAAACAACTAACAGACATGGTTGTTAATGAATGAACAATGAGATTTAAACAACTAACCTGGTTGTAAATGGATGAAAAATGAGATTTAAACAACTAATATGATTGTTTATGAATGAAAAATGAGATTTAAACAACTAACTAATATGGTTGTTTATGAATGAACAATGAGATTTAAAAAACTAACTAAACTGGTTGTATATGAATGAACAGTAAAGTTTAAACAACTAACTAACCTGGTAGTATATGAATGAACAATAGGATTTAAACAACTTAATAGCTTGGTTGTAAATGAATGAACAATGAGATTTAAACACCCAACTGGCCTGGTTCTATATGAATGAGCAATGAGATGTAAACAACTAGCTAACCTGGTTCTATATGAATGAGCAATGAGATGTAAACAACAAGCTAGCTTGGTTGTATATGAATGAGCAATGAGATGTCAACAACTAGCTAACCTGGTTGTATATGAATGAGAAATGAGATGTCAACAACTAGCTAGCCTGGTTGTATATGAATTAGCAATGAGATGTCAACAACTAGCTAACCCGGTTGTATGTGAATGAGCAATGAGTTGTAAACAACTAGCTAACCTGGTTGTATATGAATTAGCAATGAGATGTCAACAACTAGCTAACCTGGTTGTATGTGAATGAGCAATGAGTTGTAAACAACTAGCTAGCCTGGTTGTATGTGAATCAGCAATGAGAACACCTAGCTAACCTGGTTGTATGTGAATGAGCAATGAGTTGTAAACAACTAGCTAACCTGGTTGTATATGAATGAGCAATGAGTTGTAAACAACTAGCTAACCTGGTTGTATGTGAATAAGCAATGAGTTTTAAACAACTAGCTAGCCTGGTTGTATATGAATTAGCAATGAGATGTCAATAACTAGCTAACCTGGTTGTATATGAATTAGCAATGAGATGTCAACAACTAGCTAGCCTGGTTGTATATGAATTAGCAATGAGATGTCAACAACTAGCTAGCCTGGTTGTATGTGAATGAGCAATGAGTTGTAAACAACTAGCTAACCTGGTTGTATGTGAATGAGCAATGAGTTGTTAACAACTAGCTAACCTGGATGTATGTGAATGAGCAATGAGTTGTAAACAACTAGCTAACCTGGATGTATGTGAATCAGCAATGAGAACAACTAGCTAACCTGGCTGTTTATGAATGAGCAATGGGATTTATACAACAATAATTTTTATGATTGTGTATGAATGTTGAAGAATAACATCAGCATTTCTGGTTGTAAATTAAAGATGGGATCTACACATCAGCTAATCAGGTAATGAACAAATGGATTTACACAACTATTCTGGTTGCATATGAATAAAGAATTGGATTGACATAATTGTTCTGCCTGTGTAAGATTGAACAGTGGGATTTTAAAACCAGTTCATTTGTTAATGAAAAATACAAAAATTTATGAATAATGAATAATGCAAAAAAAATATGAAAATATATGAAAATTATTATACAAAAGTCAGCTACTTTGATCATACATGAATGAACAATTAACTTTGGCAAAACAAATTCTTATCACAATAAAAGAAGAAACTGGGTATTGCAAACACAACTATATTTTTAATAAAAAATTAATAAGTGAATTTGTGTTACTGAGTTAGATGTATGCAACAATTAATTAGACTGCAAATAGAAAAACAATTGGCACCAAGTATTCTGACAAAACATAAATAAACAATAGGGTTTTCCCAGCAGCAATGATCATTTTCATAATGAATAATTAAATAAGTAAATGGGCAAATATTGTGATAATTTATACATTATAAAATAGCGACAAGATTTGTACAACTAAAGGATTGTATGTAGATGAACAGTTGCGTTTGGTAACACCTGATCTGACTATACTTAAATAGCTTTTCTAATCACAATGTATGTATGATTGATAAATTCAAGTGAGAAGTACTATTCTATATATATATATATATATATATATATATATATATATATATATATATATATATATATATATATATATATATATATATATATATATATATATATGTATGTGTGTGTGTGTGTGCATATGTGTGTGTATGTGTATATATATATAGTTATATATGTACATATGTATATATGTATGTGTGAGTGTGTGTGTATGTATGTGTATATGTATGTGTTGTGTATGCATGTGTATGGTGTGTGTGCATGAGTGGGGTGTGTGTTTGTGTGTGTTCTTTTTAGACCTGAAAACTTTTGTATGAAATACAACCTTTGTTTGGAATACAGACTTGTATGAGTCAAAATTAGTTGAGACACTGCGTGCTATCTTTCTTTACCTCTCTGGAGATAAAGCCACAGGCAGATGTCAATGACTTTGCAAAGATCTATTCCCCCAACAAAGGACAATGGACAAATAAGCTGTAATGCTAACAGCTTTGTCTGGAATGACCTGACAATGTCACATTTAAGAAACATCCTGATGAGGAGGCAAAAGCAAAATTCTTTGGGCAGATTTTTAGTAAATGTCAAACCTGATGAGCCTCAACCAGGTTCAAGCGGCCAAAAGAAACAGAGAAAAAAATATACTTGGTTCAAATTCCTGAAGTTTTATTGCAAGGAGACTTTTTTCTAAATAACAACATCTTAACGTCCTCCCTTCTCAGCACTATCGTAGTAGGCACTGAATTCTTCACAGGAAAGTCAAGTGAGTTTCAATTTTCATTTACTTCATCCAACTTTATTTAATGTAATTTAGTGTAAGGCAGTTTAAAAATTATTTTTCTGTGACCTCATTATTGTATATTATGCCAATAACAAAAGGATTTTCTTCAATCTTCTCTCTTTATTTTGGAAAAATTAGTTTGGTTTATGTACTGTTTTGTATACGTATTGTTTGGTATAGTACTGTCTGGTACACATTCTGTTTGGTTTTTGTACTGTTTGGTATATGTCTGTTTAGTATATGTACTTTTTGGTATAAGTACTGTTTGGTATAGGAACTTTTTGGTATACGTCTGTTTGGTATTTGGGCTATTTGGTATACATATTGTTTGGTATATGTTTGTTTGGTATAAGTGCTGTTTGGTATATGTACTGTTTGGTATATGTACTGTTTGGTATACATACTGTTTAGCGTACACACTGTTTGTTATACGTACTGTTTTGTATACACACTGTTTGGTATACGTAGTGTTTGGTATATGTACTGTTTGGTATACGTACTGTTTGGTATAATACTGTTTGGTATATGTACTGTTTGGTATAATACTGTTTGATGTAGTAAGTACGTATACAAAGTTTGTGTCTGTGTGCGCGTGTGTAAGAGAGAGCGAGAGAGAGAGAGAGAGAGAGAGAGAGAGAGAGAGAGAGAGAGAGAGAGAGAGAGAGAGAGGGGGGGGGAGAATGTGTGTGTTTGTGTGAAGGTATAAAGTCGAGATTTGTAGAACTAATCTCGCCGTTGAACCGTACCTTCCTAGAATCTGTCAGACATAATGCTAGAAGATAATTTTCAATCTGCACACAGTCCTGCCGCTTTTCTATTTCTACAACTTGGTATTCTACATCGGATAAGTTGTACTGATCAAGTATGTCTTTGGCTGTAGAACATTCTGGTGAATAAGTTTTGGAAAACAAGACAACCTTTCTTTGCTTTAGTTTGAAATCTACAAATGGTCTAGCAGAGGCCATATTATTTGAAACATCAAGTGTAAAGTCTATACTCAGCAATTTTACAAAACACAGGATTTGACACAGCAGACAACTTTTGTTTACATTAGCAACTAGTAATATTTTAAACTTCGCTGCTGAAGATTTACTATCTTCATTTGCTTATGCCTGTTTGGAATTGTTGCTAACAGTCAGCGACAAGAAGAAAACAAATATGGTGCAAGGGGCTAAAGACCTACAACCGGGTTTAAGTATAAGCTAAATGAGCTACAGCTTGGGGCGTCATAATCTGCAGGGGCTTGGACAAATTACTGTGTTTTCTTTAGCAAACACAATTTTCATTTATAAATGTTAATTGCAATTTTTCAACAAAGAATCTAAGAGAGATTGTATAATTTACAGTTATTTTGCAAACCTATCCTTGTTATTTTATTTTTTGGCTATAAAAGCACAGAGGGCTGGAGAACTAGCTAGATAGAAAAAGACTTTCATGCCTACCAGGAAGAGAGCGATGTTCTTTTTAGGAATGCCAATTGACTGACTGATCGATTATTTATTATTTCTTTTACTATAAGTCGAATGTATACATTTTACAGCTTTCTCAGATTAGGTGGTGTAAATTTAAAACGGTAATGGCGTCACAGCTTTATATAGCTAAGGACTTCATCACGTATAAATCCTTTCATGCCTGCCATCTTGATCCACGGTGAAAAGCTAGAGATAGTTAACATACCTGGGATCCTTGATCAATGACAAACTATCACCGGACCAAGAAATCTACACCATGATACCTCTGCATGTTTTATTTTGTGTCGATGCATTTGAGGTAAAGATACTATTCAAGGCCTAATCGAAACAAATTTTCATACTAACTTCAGTCCGATTGACACAAATCATGATCAGAACTCAGACAACATGAAAATCAGTTCATCAAACTTTCAAGAGTTAAACTATAAACAAGCAACCAAGAGATATTTTGTGCATATACAGAGTCATTTCTCGTCCTTTTTAGGATGAAATTTTTCGTTATTCGAAGCCCTACTCTGGCTTTTACCAGGGCCCGCAATAAAGCCTGGCCATAAAAATGGCCTCAAGGCTGAACTCGGTTTCTGGGACCTCTCCACGGTGATCCTCACCCGCATGGTGGCACTTTGTGTCATCGGGTGTTTATCGATCTGTGTGATGTCCTGGTGGGGTAGAAAGTCAGTCAGTCAGTCACACGAAGGGACACAACCATTAAAAGCCAATTAAATTATCCATCATGGTTACTTTCAAGACTTAGTTCCCTTTGCTTACGCTTTGAAATTCCGTCAAAACCATCTTCTGGGAGAATGAGAACCACATAACGTGTTTTTTATACTATCGTAAAGAAAAGGCCATTGTAGGCAGAAGCCAATGTTGGAGTTGAGCATAAATAAGCTGTAGATTAGGGCTTCACAATCTACAGGGGCCTAACAAAATTCTTTGTTTTTCTTTAATATAATTTTATTTTAACATATGTGCACACATTTCGAACTGTCTTTTATTTTAGACTACACTCCCAGTATGCGACTCAATGTTTCGTTATTTCAAATTACCACTCCGACTGTGGCTAGGGGCCCTAATATAACCCAGCTTAAGGGTTGAACTGAGTTTCTGAGACCTGTCTCCATGGGATCCTCATCCGAATGGTGGCACTTCGTGTCGCCGGGTGTTTGTCTTTCAGTGTGGTGTCCTGGTGGCCTTGAACGTCAATCAGTCAATTATGTCTCAAGATCAAATCGGCTGTACCCAACATCATGCCTATAGAAAGGAACATTAGGAAATCTCATTCATTCATTCAGTAGCATGTCCCTCGCGGAACCTCGCTGCCATAACAACCCTCCGGAAAACCTTCCTATCCTGAGCAAGATGTCCTGCGTCTGATACACCCATCTGGAGATCATATGCCACATCCTGCACCCATCTTCTCCTTGGCCTTCCTCTTCCTCTCTTCCCAGGCATATACCCCTCCATTATTGTTCTCTCTAGACTTCCATGACGTTTCAAGTGACCAAAATATTTCAATTTTCTTTGTTTTATTGTCTTTACTAGCCAACCCTCTTCAATATTGAGCTCTTGAAGTATGGATGCATTTGTTCTTTTCTTTACCAAAGATATTCTTAGAACCTGTCTGTAACATTTATATTCAAATGCATTTATGCGCTGTTCCGCTTGTTTAGTAAGTGTCCAGGTCTCACAGGCGTATGTTGCAATGGGAAAGATGCATGCTCTTAAAAATCTGACCTTTGTAGTTCTATCTGTACAATTCCATAATTTATTCAGGAAATCTCAGCCCGCCTCAATATGGGACTCAAAATGTTTTGTTATTTTAGCCGCGGGCCCTAAATATAACCTACCGGATTTCTGACACTTGTTCCTGGCAGTTTTCATCCAAATGGTGGCACTTTGTGTCACCTGATATTAATTGCTCGATGTGCGGTCCTAGTGGGGTTGAACGTCACTCAGTCAGTCATTCAGCAATAGGGCATGTTATGCAACTCACTCTCTGATGACATAATCAAGCATTTTGCTTCCGGGAAATCAAGATTGTAACTTGGAACTTTACAGAGAATTAAATACAAAATATAGTTTATGTGATTTTAGTAACACATTTGGACTCAGTCATAAACACATTCCTCATTATCGCATTTACTAAAAATTAAAAGACAATATTTTTGCATTAAGCACACATTCAAGGGGCCGGCGCATGTATTTGAGTTTTCTGAGATTAGCTGGTGTAATTTAGAACGATAGCAGTAGTAACATCAGCTGACTATGATCTATCCACATTCTTCTTGGCCGTCTTCTCTCCCCCTCTTAATGTTTCCATTCTCGTGTTGTATGCTCTTGCAACAGGTGACGCTGGGTTCATTCTGACCAGGTCGCCAAACCATTTCAGTCTTTACTTTTCACTACAAGTAATTACAGGTGTTGTTCCCGCTATTATAATGATATCTTCGCGTCTTTTATGGTCTATTCTTGTTACGATGACTGCTTTTCTCAAACATCTCATTTCACATGTCGGTAAATTCAGCTCTTGTTTTTGTGTGTGTGTGGAAGCACAGGTTTGACATTGGTGACACAATGTTGGTAAAAAGACTGCATTTATGATTTGTCATTTAGTTTCCTCTGGTATTGTTGGGGGTTTTGGTATCGGGGGACAGTTGACAGACAACACTGTTGGCTTGTTGGATTCTAGACTCTGTCTGCCCAGCTAGCCGTCTGATGTGAAGATGCTTCCAGCATTCTTGATTTTCCCACCTGTTTTACTGTAATACTAATCACAAATCATAAGGCTACCACGGCTGCCTATGTACAAGAAAAGTAACAGAATAGGAAGGATGATATAAACAGTTAACTACATGTTAACATAGGAATGACAAATATAAGTTAAAAATAAATACTACGGGAACAGTAAACTAGACATGGTAACAACACAAAAGAGAAAACAGTTCACTGGGTCACGGGACACCGCAGCTGTACATTTCAGAACAAATATCAGAGATACGTTTGCTGTCTGACACAAGACGCGTGTGTTACTGTTCTTATTTTGACTGTGTTAATGTTTTTCTGTCTTTACAGGATTGTTGGTAATCTCTATTCCGTGCGTTTAGGTGATTGGACTTTTTGGTAGCATTTCTGAACAAAGTGACCATACCGGATATTGTTATGAGATAGTCTTTGATCGGAAGACGTTATAAGTGACTGAAGAACTACCAGAATTGTATAGTGACAACAATTCCCGAGGCGTGAAAATCTAGTCCACCCTATCTCAATCAGGACAATCCACCCTATCTCAGTCAGGACAATCCACCCTATCTCAGTCAGGACACAGGTGAGAGCTTCTCCTTTCTTTAGGGAATTGGACAATCAGTCATTTAATTAACTAATAAATCAATCGATCAGGTGTGGTTTTCTTCGGCGCTCTTTCCTAAAGCGACACTAGGCAAATTGTACTGTGGCTTACAGCTAGGCTGCGATTTGTGCACATATGATTCCATCATAACCCTAATAAGTCACCTTTTAAGACATGCTTTTCATGTGAACATTTGTCTGTTTACCCCCCCCCCCCCCCCAACAACCGTCCCCCCGAACCCACAAGAAAATGCTATTTTGTATGTCCCTGTATCAGAATTTAACACCATTATGGGCGATAATTAAAAACTGTCATTATTGATTAACTGAATTTTGTGTGTGATCTCCCTTGACTTTATTATATCTAGTTTACAAATCTCTCTCTCTCTCTCTCTCTCTCTCTCTCTCTCTCTCTCTCTCTCTCTCTCTCTCTCTCTCTCTCTCCCTCTCCGTGTGTGTGTCTGTGTGCATATATATATATTTACATAAAACAGTATGTAGAGGTCATGACAATGGTCAGTGCACTAACATGGCTGGAGACACAGACATCTAACCTTGCAAGATTTCTTATTGACTCAGTGCATATGATCAGGAAGACAGAGATGACATATGTCCGAAGACAGTGGCTGGACTCTCTGAGGAGGTCGGTGCTGATAAAAATCTGTTTCATATTCGTGCCAGGGTCGCAGGTGTGCAAGGAAGTGAGCAAGCTGATAGGCCTGCAGGTAAAAAGCTACCGTGAAGTGCAGACGAGCCATTAATAGGGCTGATATTCTGAATACTCTACGAAAAGTAATATATTTGTGAGAACCATGTGATGACTTTGAATCTGCAACAATAACAAGATTGCAAGAACACAATGTTAAAAGGGTGTGGCCACTCAACAGCATTATACAGGAAGCCAAAGAAGAATAAGAAACCGATATAAAACTTTAGAGGGGCTGTGTGGCCTCGAGGCTTTGGGTCCGCCTACAGTGCTGGAGTTCCCAGGTTCAAACCCCAGTGAAGCATGGGTTTTTTCACGTGGACCTATAATTATTTCCCCTGGTCTTTGGGTAGTAAGATATTACCCCCGTGTGTATTGTTGCCCACGTGAAAAAAAAAACTGTGTCAGTTGGAAATCGAAAAAGAGTAGCCTAGCGGCT